CCCACCCTCCTCGAGCCCGGGAACAGCAGCGAGCTGCAGAGCTGCAGCTTTGTCCATCTGCACAGTCAGCTCCTGCCAGGGCCGTTGCAGACAGTCTCCTGGCCACAAGGAAGCACGGTCCCCAGTCGCTGTCCCTGGCCAGGGAGCCCCGCTGTGCTTTCCTGGCACCCGCCAAAGGGTCTGGGGATGAGCCTTGGCTGTGCGGGACATGCGGGGCAGCGTGTTCAGCCCATCTCCCAGTCCTGCACGGTGGGGACGTTCATCATGGCCCCTGGGAATAGTGGTGCTGGAGGGGACATGGGCACTTCGGGACTCAGAAGTGGGCTTGACAGCTCTGCTGGCACCCCAGGCTGTACAAGGGGACCCTGCTGGCACCACAGCCACCAGCTCTGCCCAGGGCCCTGCAGTGCCCTGGGCAGCCGCAGAGCCTTGTCCCAGGAGCATGGAGCTGCTCCCACACAGCAGGCGTAGAGCAAGGAGGACACTCTTCCTACAGCTGCTTTTATTAGAGGTTACAAGATACAAGGAGCCAGACCTGCCTACTCCGCTGTGTCCCTCCATGTGCCGTGTGGGCAGAGGTGAGGGCACAGGTCCCCCTGCCTGCAGAGCAATGCAAAGCGCAGCCCCTTGCATTTTCCTTGCAGCTGACATGCTTTCTGCTGCAGTCGCTTCACCCTGCTAGCCATGAGCAAGCATTGCGGGAGAGGGGTGTCTCCAACGGGACAAGAATTGGGGCCACTGAGCTGCACCCATGCCATCGCTCCCCAGAAGAGACCCTGGCTTGGCCCCACACACACCTACAAAGGGGATCAAAACTCGTATGGGGACACAAGGACTGTGACCTTGAAGATGTGCTTGCCCAGGAGGACCTTGCGGGAGAATTCACTCATCTCCAGTTCCACCTCCAGCATGGCCGGCCCCGCCATGGGGCTGGTGAGCACAAGCTCTCCTGTCTGCCTGTCAGCGCGCCGCACCGCGAAGACCCCCTGGCCCTGGCCACCCACGATGGCGAAGCGCAGGCTGTCTCCCACAAAGCGGGTGGTGGACATCTTGAAGAGGACGTGGGGCACGGTGCGGTTGGCCTGGAGCGGCAGGTAGTGGAAGGAGATGGAGGTGGCGGCCAGGCGGCAGGCTCGGTTCTCCATGGGGCAGGGGTTCCTCTTGCACTGGCTGCCAGGAGAGAAGGGGTGCCCCCGCTCAGCGCCATGGTTTGGCTCTCGGGGAGCTGCCCGCATCCTTGTGAACAAGCCTAGCCTGCGCCACAGGCAGCGTCCCCACCCCACCGCCGGTCCTGCGGCAGAGCAGCCCCAGGTAGCCACATCCGAGTGTGCCCAGCCTCGGATCTCTGTCCCATCCCCGCCTCTGCCAGGCAAACACCCTGCCTTGCAGGGACACAGCTCGGGGTTGCATTCCCAGGCTGGGATCAGGGGTATCACGGACCTGGGTGGAGGCCATGGACAGAGCTGGGCTCAGATGTCCCTCCCGCAGAGGAACATCCCCTGTCCAGAGCAGGGGTGCTGCTCCGCTTGGGTCACTTAAGCAGTCGGGTTTCATGAGCAGGGCCGGGGGCTTTTCCTGCTGGATAGCAGCTGACAGCACCGCGAGGATGTGCAACAGGGGGGAAACAGCATTGTCCCCCCCAGACTGGGGCTCTGGGGTCCTGGGTAAAGCCACCATGTATTGGGGTGCTCCTACCCACACCCCCAGCCAGCAGCATCCCGAGATCTCTGGCAAGGGACATCGGGGGAGTGTGCCAAGCACACCCTAGCTGGCAGTTTGGCTGGCACTTCCCCTGCTGCCCTGGGTGACATGATACGGTCCCCGGGTCACCTGTAGGACCCATCGCCTGGGGAGAGGGCACTTCGCAGCCTGAGCCATGCGCAGTACTCACAAGGCGGAGGTCTTGACGTAGCTGGTGTTGTGTCGTGGCAGGGGGCACTTGGGGCGCACGCAGCGGTGGCCCCCAAAGGTGTTGATGCAGAGGTCACCCTGGATGCAGTTGTGCTGCTTCCCGGCACACTCGTTCACGTCTGTGGCGGGGACAGGGTGTGAGCAGAGCCATCTCC